TTAAGACAGAAGAATGTGAATCTGGCTTTTGTATCTTTTCGCTTCTCTCTGGAAGGCACAGCTGACCGGCATGGTCTAGAGGTAACACTGACTGAAAAACTGGATAAGCAAGCTTTTATTCTTTGAAGTGACGTCACCTCCACAGTGGTCACAGATATGTCTTATCAGTCAGTAGCGAGACGTGCTAATGTTGAGTTTAGTGCCTTCAGTCCTAACTATCCAACTGTGGTACAGAAACAAAGTCTGTCTGTAACCTAAATACACATAATTCAGTCGTTCGTTCCAGCTCATTAAAGGTGAAATTTTAAGCTAAACTGAGTCAGTGCTGTCAAAATTTAACCTTAATTTTACGCTGTCAACAATGTGGAAACAGTTTATCTTAATTCTTTTATTAGTTTTCAACTAAAAATATATGTCTTACAAACTATATTCCGTAGTAATTCAACTCGTTATAAGAAATTCATACACTCTAACGCCATTTGAAAGTGAAGCGCAATTTATAAACCTTTACACACTAATCGATCACAAAGTTAAAATACACGATAGCTAATACTGAAATAATTAAACAGCCAGCATTTATTTATATATAACATGAACGCTAGACGTCTTGTGATGATTTCTAATCATCTTCAATTATTGCGCTAATAGTGATACCACAAATCTGTTTTCTCTTCACACTGTAAAGCACTTCACAATTCTATTAGTTTTGAGTAATTTTCAAATACGTTTTGTTTAAACTGTAACACTTATTTTGTGTAAACTTTTAGCTTTATGGATATTTTATTTTGATAAATATCCAGAAAATAGATGTTACAAGTTCACCTTTTTTGATGAACTATTTGACTACATGTTTTGATTTTCAACGGTTTTGAATAATTCAGCTGAAGAAGCTGTGGATTATGCAGTGAAACATTCGGAAAAATATTCTTTTGATTTTTCACATATATGAGGATTATTCCTTTTACGAGTTGATCACGGATTGACATCAGTTAGTGAACCATTGAAAGCCAGCACTGGAGTACTGGATAGCTGTTCCATCCTAGTCTGGGAATCATCGGCAGTACGCACCCACTGCCATGGCTCGAACCCAGGACCTTCCGGTTACCAGGCAAGCTCGTATACCATTCAGTCACTGGGACCCGATTCATTGGCCAGCCCATGAATTCTAACTTCTACCAATTTGTGATTTAGCGCGACCCCAACCAATGTCGTCGGTGGGACATCCATCCTCACACTTGACTGGATGGACCTCACTGGTCACGACTTCTCACTAGAACTCCAGGAAACTCCATCCTGTAGTAAGTCACTAGCGAGCATCAGATTAATTTTAGAGAGTTCGTTTGTAGAAGTTAGAATTCATGAGCCATTGAATCGGGTACCAGTGGCTGAATGGTATACGAGCTTGCCTGGTAACCGGAAGGTCCTGGGTTCGAACCCCACTGGGTGAGTACTGCTGATGATTCCCAGACTAGGATGAAACAGCTGTCCAGTACTCCAGTGCTGGTTTTCAATGGTTGTCTAACTGATATCAATCCGTGATCAACTCGTAAAAACAAAACTATCCCTTACAAACCAACTATAGAGATTATTCTTTTATTAATTCTGTAGTTTTATTTTACTTTATTTTGTTAGGAATATCTAATTACGAAGTGGAGTATTATTTAAAGTTTGTTAGAGGTGATCACTAGCAAACAGTTTGGGAAAAGACTGTCATTTCAGCTACTTTATTACTACACTGATGTTCTATGTTACTGTTCTCACGATAGACTTTTGAACTATTTGCAATATGAGAATAATATGTTGGTTTTAAAATCTGACGATGGGAGATATAGATGTGTCTTCATTGTTCTGCTTTGTCTTTACATTTTTCACGTTTTTATCGCATCAGATTAGTTAGATGTTAGTAGCTATTTTTGAGGAGATTTCAAATGAACTTTCTGCACTCAGCATAAAAGAAAAATTTCGGATTTTCAGCAACAATTTTAACTCAGTTCTTCTGTATGGATCAGAAACTTGACGTCCAACAGGTTGCAGGCTTTTATCGACAGCTACCTTCGCTCCATATTGAAGATCAGATGGTTAAAAAGAATGAGAAATAAGAAACTCTGAGGACAAACTAACCAAGGATCTGTTGCTCAACAAATATGCCGAAGAAAGCGGAGATGGATTGGACACACACTGGGGAGACCGCAGAGTGGCACCACGTGTCATGCCGTCGAGTGAAACCCCTCATGTGAAGCGACTAGCTGAGCGTCCATGGGTAACATAGGGGACATGTGAGGAGGAGGAGGAGATGAGAGATTACGAGCAGTCGTAAGGCCTGCAGAGAACAGGACAAGGTGGAAATGTGTTGTTGAAGCCCCTTTGTTCTATCTGGAACTCAAGGGGTTTCCTAACAAAGTTTGGACATATCATTTTGGAAAACTTCTTGGTAAATGGTGAGAGCTTTATAAAATAAAGGTATATTTTGTATGGTGGCCTAAGTTACTGTGTTCTATTTGTCAATATGCAGGACGAGTGTATTCATTCTATTCAGTTCTTAAGGTAAATTTGCAATCATCTAATTTATTACAGAATTAAAGTTAATTCAATTAATCTGAATTCTAGTAAAGATCTCTACTAGGGATGCAGGAAGACTGTATCACAAAAGTGGAATGTTCAGCTTTTGGGGCTGATATATTCTAACCTTTGCTTTCTGAAAGAGAAATCAGTACTACTCTTATGTTAACTACTAGAAGAAAAAACACACATATATATATCTACTCTTCCAAAACACTTCTGACGGGATAAATTATTTACAATGAATTTGTAACTTAATAACTATATGAATAAAATCATTGAAATGGTTCATATTCTTTTGAATGAATTATTTACATATCACTTTAAGTTTCATACTATGTTAGATCATTAGAAGACAAACAATTTTATTAATGGAATCCAATATCGAATTTGGTGATAGCAGATATTAGTAAAAATTGATTAGATAATGAAAATTTTGAACTCGCTATAACAGTCTACGAGAATATAACCTTCAGACATAGAAGTAGCTACAAATTCTACTTAAAGTAAACATTAGTTAATTTTTATGTATAAATTTACAGATGACTGTGAGTATCTGGATACAAGAGTAGTTTCTTTTATTTTAATTGAATTTGAGATTTTCCCGTCGATTGATTGAACCGAAGTGCTCGGTCTCAGGTTGACATGTCGGCTTCTTGTGCACAAGAGGTGGCTCTAGTGGCCCAAGTGGTCTAGTGGATGACGCTTTGGCGTTTGAAACTAAGGGCACTGGGTTCGAGCCCCGGTGGGAACATCATCACTCACTGGGGAATGCAGGTACATCCAGCTGGAAGACGAGTCCCAAATAGGACGAAATGCGCATCCTGGATTCCACTGCTAGTCACCATCCACAAATTAAGAGTAGTTTCTGTTTGCATATCTAGGAGTTAGAAACATAACAGAAAATCTTTGCATGTCTATACAGAACCATTGTCAGGTCTGTTAAGGAACATGTACCCAAGGAAACACTGGAATTAAACTCAAAAGCCGATAGTGATTACTTTTATTTACGTGTGTTAGTAGTACATTGTACACTCAATATCATTACTGAAAATTTAACTTTTTGTGACATCTACAGATTTATGAAACTGCTAACATTAAAAATTCCTTCTGGTGATTCAATAATAACAGCTAGGTCCGAATTCTGTGAAGCGATTTAACAGTAAATCGTCTCCAGTATGACAGAAACAACTGTCTATCACTGCATGATGTTCACTGGCTAGTCAAATCATTGATATAAGAATAAAACTTGGGCACTGTGGTAGAGTGTAATTCCATTATGGGTAAATTTTATTTTGATAAAGTCTCACAGTGTTATACAGTAATATTTACTGATGACGTTTCGAGCACAATTTATTGCTCATAATCATATCAAGGTAACCACACGACTTCCTAAATCCATTTATATAGTTCCATTGTTTTTTCACTTGATTTTCACCTGATTTGATTGGTAGTAATATTTTCCATATTTCGGGTATGAGTAATGAATCATTTCTATTGCATGTGTTGGGTGTAGACTCAATGAACCAGGATTCAGTAATCAACCTGTCTCTCCACCTACCTAGATTACTTTTTAGAATTTTAACCCTCCCCACCCTATTGTGTGGTTGTGTGCTAATGCATGCATTGCAATTGCCGGGCTTTTTTCTAAATTACTTATCTTCTCTGGGTCAACCATTCTTACCTTAGCTGAATTCTTGTGTTCTGACAATCTGACTACTCCTGACCTACTAGTTTGACCTATGTAGTTGACCTCACAGTCATTGCAGGGTATTTTGTAAATCATATTATTTTGTCTAATAAGGTCCACTGGGTCCTTTAACCTACAGAGCTTGTCCCTGAGTGAGTTTGTAGGTTTAAATGCCACCCTAATTCCTGCTTTATTTAGAATCCTACGTAGGGTCTCAGATGTCCCCTCTTTATATGGTATAACTGTAGATGACTTATATTCTCTCTTATTTATGTTATTATTACTAGTTTCACAATTATTTTTATTTTGGCCTTTTTTAATCTTCCTAATGAATTTTAAAGGATAGTTATTTAACACCAACGCCTCTTCTATCTGTTTTATTTCATCATTTAGGTCTTTTTTTGTGCTACTTAGTGCCATTGCTCGGTTTGTTAAACACTTAACTAAGCCTGCCTTAACAGTTAACACATGAGATGAATTAAAGTCTAAAGGTTAGTCAAATCATTGAATTGTAAAGGTGGAATCTTTATCTAAGCTTATTCATTTCTCAAAAAATCGCCTTCATTAGACACTTTCAACATTGCAACAGTAGGTTTTCACTGCTTCAACTTTAAACTCTATATTGCATAATACAAGTTTGAAACATCACTACAGACAGTAATGGAAACAAAAATAAAACTTTACTCTTTCCTGTTCACGCGTAGAAATCAGAATTTTTTTGATTCCTTTTTCGTCCTATCATCCAGTTATACTTTACATAGTCTTGCTTACTTCGTTGTACATGGTTGTTTACATAAAGCATAAGCAAACATACACGTATATTTAAGCAAAGAGGTAAAGACAATAGGCTGATTTAGCAAATAAATGCTTTTAACAAGTCAAAGTAGTACTGTTTTGTTTTGGATCTGCTAAAGTGATGCCAAATTATGTCACTTGTTAACAGATGAATAGAAGAAGATGATGAAATGGAAATTTGATTGTTTGTTCTTTGTTTTTTTAACTTTTTATGCCTGTTTTACACTGTTTAAATGCATTGTGATATGATTTCTTCATTTTTAAAAATGAAATTTATAATTTAGAGTAAGTATTTGTAGATTATTAAGGTAAAAATGTTTAACACTAATAAATGGAATGTTGATAGCGAAAATTTTACTGTATGTGAGAAATTTCTGAAATAGGCATAATCATTGAATGGATGCATCATTCTGGTATTCGGAGAGTTAGTCGTTGAATCTTTGCTGGATTTATACTTTGAACATGAAGAACACACTGGTGGTTTTTGATGGTTTATTGCAGAAGTGGCTGATATTGAGGAATAGTCACTTTGACCCAATGATGAAGGCATTGAAGAAAAGGAGGATGATGGTTGGAGACGATCTTGAGTAAGGTAAGTTGCACGTTTATTTACTAGAGAAAAGGATGTTTAAAAGAAATACTGGTATTACTATTCACTTCAATGGAATAACATTACTGCATTTTTCGAACTTAACAAAGACTTGAGTTACTTGTAATTAGAGGTGATCGCAGGAACAAAAATTAAGTCACTGTGCTTCTTCTGTTAATTCTATTAAAAAAATCTGAATATTAAGCAGAGTCTCATGTCAATTTTGAAAAGAAATGCTTTATCTAACTTCCTTGTGGGTATTGATAGACCAATACGTCACTTTCTATCACACTACTTCATCAGTCTCCAAGCTGAGACTGGACCAAAGTGTTTAGATACTATCTCGCTAACGTATCTTGGGGGAACATTTGCCTGATGTTTTGTCCCTGGTCCAGTCTACCTCTCCTTAGTCAACCTGGAAAATCCGCACTCTGACAGTTTATCCATATCGGCGCCGTGCTCAAGGTGGACGTACGATCAGCATGAACACCTACATGTCATTAGTTGTGGCCCCGAGAATTTCCACACCCTGGTCTCCAAATAGCTAGTTTACAAGTGTACACTACCATTATATATGTCCAAACCAAGTTCACTTTTAACAGTTTGAAAAAATTTGGGCATTGGGTATATGATATTCATTATAATAAAGGTTTTTGTATTTCCCAATGAATGAAAAACAAAACGATATTGTTTTTACTGACGTTTCGCTATTTAATGCTAATAGCTTTATCAAAGTATTATTAAACCGGAATTTACAAAATCTCAGCATATATATAACAAAGAGTTAAGGGGTGAGAAAATAGACTTAGGTCAAGTTAAAAGGACATATTGAAAGTTAAAATACCAATGAAGATCACTAAACCAAATAACAAAGGTAATAGTACGTCTGTTATGGTATCAAAACAAAGTTTACTAACTTGATCATCGTTCGTCAGTCTGGGGTCATTTTTCGTTGTCAAGTTGGTCAATTGGTAAAGATAACAAAACCAAGTGTAGATTGTTGGATTTGATCAGTGTGTAAAATTATAAAAGCAGTGTGTATTTACATAGTGAACTTGCATATCACATTCGTGTTGATTTTGTCACTTCATGGGGGAGGGAGGTGTTGTAACCAGGTCAGATTCTGTTTTAGTCCATCATTCCTATTCAGGCAATTTGGATTCCACTTGATATGAAGTGCTTCTGATATTAGACGTTCTTTGTGATTTCTGAAGTTTTTCTGGATTATTTCAATATTGTCAAAATCAATTTTGTGGCCTGATTCTATAGCGTGTAGACCTATGGCTGATGATTTTTCAAGTTTTTCTAGTTCAGCCGGATTTCTCGGTGGTCGAACAGATGCTCTACGGTGTTCATTTCTTCTGATTTTGATTTCTCGAGATGTTTGTCCGATGTATATCGCATCACATTCCAAGCATTTTATTTTATAGACACAATTAGATAGAGAATCTTTAGGGATTTGGTCTTTTATATGGACAAGGTTGTTTCGTAGTGTGTCCGATGTTTTGAAGAAAACTCTAATGTCGAGCTGATTGAGTACTCTTCTGATATTATCTGACGTCTCTGCTCTATATGGAATGACGACCGTTGAAGTCCATGTTTTCGGAATGCGTTTTCGGCCATACTTAATGTCTGTGTTGATTTTGTTGATGAAGTTCCTTGGGTAGTTGTTTTGCTTGAGAGTTTCAGTAATGTTTGATATTTCTTCTTTTTCTTTTTCATCCGTTATCAGAGAGTGTGCTCGTCTAAGAAGACTTGAAACAACTGAAATCTTTGCGCTGATGGGGTGTGATGATTTGAAGTCTAAATATTTATTGGAGTGGGTTTTCTTCCTGAATATGGATATACTAAAATGTCCGTTTTCCCTTCTCTTAACTAGGCACTCTAGAAATGGTAGTTCACCGACGTCTGATTCTGCTTTCGAAGTAAACTGGATTCTGGTAGACACACAGTTTATTTTCTCCATGAATGAATTGTATAGATCTCGTTTTAGTACTACAAAAGTATCATCTATATATCTTAACCATATTTTAGGAGTGAGTATGCTTGAAAAGATGTTATTTTCGAATCTATTCATGAAGAGGTCGTCAACTATTGGGGAAACTGGTGAACCCATAGCAACACCATTTTTCTGTCTATATAAACTCACTTTAAATGTAAAATAATTACTTACACTACCATGCCTATACACTGCTCAATAAGGCTTACATAACATTATATATATATGCTGTTACATTAACTCGTAGATTACTGGATATTAAATTTCATTCGATAAGTATTTTAAATAATGAAAGCGTATTTGTGAAGTCAAAATAAAGTAGGATCTAAATTCCTTAAGTTTCACAGTCTCTCGGATCCTCTTTTTCAAAGAATAAGGCCGGTATAAATTATCTTCCGTTTACTATTTATTTATTTGTTTTGCAGTATATCATGAATCCATTCTCGGTATCTCTAAAACTGTAATTGGCCGAATACTATAAATTATTATTTGTAACGAAATATAAGTGCTTTCGAATACTGGCTAATATTTCTTATACCTGATAACTTTGAGGTCGCTACAAACAGATATTTTTAATTTATGAAAAATCCCCATTCAAACTTTAATAGAGAGAAGACCAGTAGTTCAGCGAAAAGTCTCTTTTCGGCGAATTCATTTTCACAGCAGTACAACTGCAAATATATATGGTTATTTTGTATGTGTGTGTACATTAAATTTGTCAAACGAAAATACAGTTTCTTACATTTGGTTCCCTTGACAAATTTCGATAAAGAAAGGAAGACGAAATTTGCAGTATAAAATATATCATTCTATTTCACAGGTTCTCATCAGCTGCAGACTACCTGGAATTGCAATGGTTATATATAGATGATAATAACATACTTTAATGTCTCAGTGGTAGTGGGGAAGAGATACTATAAAATTGACGCATCCAAAATGAAAGCATTACAATTTTTAGTTTAAGATTTCATCACCGATTTTTACGCTTTTAAAGTCGAAAAGAGGGGGGAGGGGTAAGACAGAAGACAGAAAAAATTAATCAACAGAACAGTGTTAGCCTGTAGATTCACATAGTAACTCAAAAAACAAAAGCGGTCACAGTTTATGAGATTAAGATTTGTTCAGTGATTTGAGATCACTGAATTAGATGACTAACACTGTTCTGTCAATTAATTTTTTTGTTTTCTGTCATACCCTTCCACCCTCGTTTCAACTTAAAAGGCGTATAAACTGATGATGAAATCTTAAACTAAAAGTAGAAGTTCGACCAGATTGCCGGACGAAACGTTGGAATTACTCATTTCAATCTCTCTGAGATTTTACAAAAACATTTTTTACAAATATCTACTTCTCATCGGCGCCCGAATATTTTAGAACTATTCTGTCAAATCTTGACGACAGTTTATTTGAATAAAAATTGTAATGCTTTCATTTTGGATGCGTCAATTTTATAGTATCTCTTCCCCACTACCACTGAGACATTAAAGTATGTTATTATCATCTATATATAACCATTGCAATTCCAGGTAGTCTGCAGCTGATGAGAACCCGTGAAATAGAATGATATCATTTTATACTGCAAATTTCGTCTTCCTTTCTTTATCGAAAATACAATTAGTAAGTTTTTGTTGGAGTTACTTAATACAAAAAGCGTTCAGAGTGATGAGTTGTCACAAACGACTGTTAAAGAAGAGTTACGTAATAACATGAATAGTTTGATGAAAGAGTTGTGTTCAGGGTGAACACGGAAACAAAATAAAATACGAAATTAAGTAAGGGTTTTAAGTAATTAGAAAAAACAAGCAAACAAGCAAAAGTTAAGTCAAATCAACAGAGTTTTTACCATGATAGTGGAAGTGGCTGAATAATTTTCTTTTTTATGCATAGTTCTGGTTCTGCAATGCAAAGAAGACGGAAACATGTTGTCTTTGACAGGTTGTTCTTCACTTTGTAGATTACTTTGAAGGAGGCGTTTGTTGAGATGGAATGACCAGTGGTGACAAGATGTTCGATTATTGCACTCCTTATACGGCCACTACTTCCTTTCTGCAGCCACGCTGGATAGTGTTCTTTGACCCTTTTTGACAGGATGCGTGTTGGACGACCGACGTAGCTGGCTCAGTAGCAACAGGTGAACTGATATATACACAAAGAAGTGGTCAGGTGTGAGATCTTGTCCTTTGGGCTTCTGCAGATCAGGGGCGACTAGAACACACTCTCATGTTGCTGCGAAGAAAGTTCTTCTTATGGAAGTGGAAATTCTCCTCTTAAGGACATCACTGAGTAGGTAACCTTTGGGACAGATGGCGTCTATTGCTTTTGGATTTTCTGTTTGATGTTTTTGTCTATGAATCTTGGTGGATATTGGTTTTGTGTGAAGATTTCTTTCAGGAAGTGTAGTTCTTTTTCGAGGGTATCAGAGCTGCAGATGCGTCGGATGCGAGTAGCAAGAGATCTAGTTAGGTTTCTTTTTCGACTGATCAGTACCCAGCTGTAGAAGATTGTCAGTTGGCCGTTTCATGTGGGTTTCCTATGAATGGACCTTCTTAAAGTTCCATCAGCTCTTCTTGTATGTTCAACATCAAGAAAAGGAATTTTAGATCCGTTTTCTATTTCAAAAGTAAACTTTGTAACTGAATGGCAGTTGTTGAGTATTTGTAGCAATTGATTAAGATCGTGATCATCATCACAGATAATAAAGATGTCGTCCACATATCTAGCATACAACTGGAAATTATCAATAGTTAATTTGAGTGGGCCATTCTCGACAACCGCCATGAAGCAGTCTGCTAGCGATGGACCCAGTGGAGATCCCATTGAGGTTCCATCTTGTTGTCTGTAAATAACATCGCTGAATGTGAATTGAACATTATGTGAACGTCGGTAATCCGACGTTCAGTTGGTTTTCGTCTATATATTGACAAATGTAACAGCCAGTTTCTGTGAGTGGAACGTTGGTAAATAGTGACTCAATGTCAAGAGAAAGCATATTTTTGTTCCTTACGTTGATATCATGGTGAAAAC